CGGTGCTTGGCTGTGCTCCGCCGGGCCGGCCGCTAGAGGGGGGTCGGACATACGCTGTGGGGCGGCCTGGTGATCGGAGCGGTGAGGTAGCGAGACAGCAGATGAGGGGTGCGTAGGGGAGGTGGTTGTTTTGAGGTTAGGGTTTTTTTGTTTTTTTTTCAGTAGAGAGCATTCTGTCTGTTTCTTCCCCAGTCCGACGAGTAATATTTTCCACATAGCTTCATAATCCCTTTGTAGCTGGTGTTGTCCTAGGCTTCATTTCCTGCCTCAATTTTCTCTTTTTTTAGTCTTAATATCTGTTTAACCGATTTCCAGAATCATAAGGAAATGTATATAAGGATAGCAACTGTTGCATTCCTTTTTAGAAAAGAAGAAAAAGCAATCCTAGCAAGTACGAAGTTTAAATCCGACTTCATTCAGAATTTAACTTTAGAGCAAATTTGGAAGAGCTGTTACAGCATAGAAAAAAGCCATCAAAATTGAAGATAATATAACATAAGTTTTTACCTCAAAGCTAGATCAACTCGAAGAGGGAGGACCTGAAATACCTGAAAGGTGCCTGTATGAAATCTGGAGAAAAGCTGTTCACTAGGGCATGTAGCAATAGGATGAGGGGTAATGGTGTTAAACTAGAAAAGGGTAGATTTAGGTTGGATATTAGGAAAAAGTTCTTCCACATGAGGTTGGTAGATCACTGGAACAGGTTGCCCAGAGAGGTGGTGGAGGCCCCATCCCTGGAGATATTCAAGGTCAGGCTTGATGGGGCTCAGAAGCAACCATTGTCCCTGCTCACTGCAGGGAGGTTGAACTAAATGATCTTTAAAGGTCCCTTCCAACCCAATACATTCTGTGATTCTATGACCTTATGGTGGAATGCTCTTGGTATAGTTCTACTTATGTTTCCATACAGAGCATGCAAGGAAGTGAAATGCAACCTCTGTAGACAGATTCTACCAAATATATTTATACTGAAGAGTGTCTGAAAAATGTTAAATGAGCCAAATATGGTAGATTCTTCATGAGGGAAAAATCTTGGAACTAATGACACTTCCACAGAAAAAAGTATAGAAAAAGAATAAATCATGTCTGGTGAAAGTGATTCAGTGTTGTTTTTTTTAATGTGAGAAAACAATTCATTTCTGCTCAGTTTAATCCCAGGAAGGATGAATTCCTTGTGTTGAAAATCTCCATTCTTCTAGAATTCAGTCTTGATGCAGACATCTGAGGGGGACTAAATTCAGCTGTGTTGTAAAGGTCTGAGGAAGACTCTTCTGAAGTCGTCAGAATGTTAATGATGGATAAAACTATTTGTATTTGCTTATGATATTCCTTTAACTTTCATTATTAAAAGATTTTTATAAAGTAAAAATCTGTTACAGCGTTTTTGGCATTTAAAAATAAAAGTTGTAATTGCTAGTATTTTGCCTTTATATAGCAAACTTATTTTTGAACATCAAATTCAGTGTCTACCTATCTTGATAAATCTCACTTAAGTTTTGAGCTTTGTCAGCATCAGTTTTTGACAGAGCACGTTATCTTGAGTCTTGACAAGAGCACTAAATTTATTAGGCTTTATCTTGGAAACCTAGGTGTTATCTTCATGCTTTGGTTTTTTATCTGCTGGAATGTTTCCCTTCAGGGAATTTCAGTATGTGTAATTCATATAATTATCTTCAAAATCTATGAGTGTGCTGGCAAGCTTACTTTCTTCAGGCATACGAAAGGATTGGAGTCACCAAGATACAAAAAAGCCTTTTGACAAACTGTGTATGGGATATGCAGCTTCACTCTCATTCTCATGATTTAGGAAGTTGAGGATTGATTAACTATTGATCAGCTAAAGATACCAGGAGCAGGCTATATTGTACAGTGGTCAGAGTATAATGAATGCAATATTTATAGGTAACATCATTTTATTACACAACTGATATAGTTAAGAAGGAAAAAGTACTTGGGTCCTTTTACAGGAATTCATTTGGTCCTAAAATACTTGAAATGTTAAGCTGCAGTCTGGGAATGAGGAGTATTATGGGCTGCTTCACATGACACACAAGCTTCTCAAATGCCTGTGTTGCTATATATAGCAGTAGATTGATCCTTCAGTGTCCATTTTTCTCTTGAGTAAGTGTGGCCAGAAATGTAAGATGCCTCTGTAGTGGAAGAATTTGGCAAGAGAGCTTTCTAGAGTCAAGAGCTTTTGCCAGATGTATTGCCCTGTGCAGAGGCATGATTCCTGCTAAACACTTCAAGTGTTCCTGATGCAGTCCCATAGCTCTTTTACCACTGCTGTGGAAAAAAGATTCTGTTGTAGCATAACCCATCTTTATCTGTCCTCGTAAAGAAGTAATACTATGCACAGGTGAAGAACACTTCTTCGTGCTTCCCGGGATGCTGTGTTTATTTAGGCTTTTAACACTGAAAAATGAGCCAAGAATCATAAAGGCCTACCACAGAACTCTGTCTTTGAGCCCAGGGTTAGAGCTTCAGTTACAGTCTGTAACAGCTATCATGAGAAAAAGATGTGATCAGTGAGATATAAAATATTAGATACATGCAATGTACAGGAAATACACAAATTTCAGGATTTATTTGTGTAAGCAGTGACAATAAAGAACATTAGTTCGGTATTTTTGTTAATGAGTGGGACAAATGTCAATTCAGGAAAAGGTAACTCTAGGAGGCAGTTGCTAAGTGGTTCTAGCAAATCTGCCAACACTTACATCTGTTTGATGGACATATTTAGACCAAAATGCAGGAGAAAACATCTCAAACTAAAATCCCAGCTATACCTTAAACGTGCTGTTTTTAAAGTTTTGTTTCTGTGAGGACAGAACGAGAATAACAATAACCAAAATCTCTTGTCTTTTATCAAGTTGTAAGCATACAAAAAGTGGGAAGCTTAAATTTTAAGAACATAAAATAGGTTACCATGTTTTAGCTGGAAATGATAGTGGAAAATAGTGCTGCTTTTTTTTTTTTAAACTGTTTTATAATCTGAAACCAGAAAAAATGAACTGTTTACTCCTAATGGTACTTATGGTTTGTTTGCTCTGGTATCACCTGGACAGGATTTTATCATCATAGTAAATACATCCTGAATACTACCATAAGAATGGCTCAGCACAGTGTTGTGGAACTAAGCACTGGGGAGAGATGACCTTGTTTCTGGGTAGCAGTGCGAAGGATGGGGTTCAGACTATTTCATGCCATAATGGCATGGGTGCCACAGGGATTCATCCTTCATTTGCAGAGTCCAGACCTAGCCACTGGCAAACTTGACAGATTAGAGTACTCTGTTCTGAGCAACTGCTCATCCTCGTGTTCCTCTCCCAGTAGTTTCAGAGTCCTAGACAAACGAGTGAGTGTGTAAATCCAGTGCATGATTAAAGTGAGAGTAAATTACAAAGCTGTCTCCCACAAAACAGACATGAATGAGGTGGCGCTCTCAGCAGTGGTGGCAGTATGGAGTGCAAAGGGAAATACTTTCTTAAGTAGGGTCTGTGTGGTCCGAGGTTTTTTTTTAGGTGTAAACTAAATCTTTACATTTACAGGAGGTGGCATAAATGCTGAAATGCTGCCTGAATATGTTTTTGGCTCTCTACTCAGTTCATTGAATGTATTAAAAAAAAAGAGTGGATTATTTGGTTTATTAGTCTTTATTTAAGCTTTTATGCTATTGTAATATGTTTTCCTTGCATTAATAATCTCTGTCCCTGTTTATACACTTCATGCTATGTTATTAATGTGTTTTCTTTTAATTTTCTTTTTTCATAGTAGTAGATTTTATGTGAATTTTGAACCCAAGATGGCTCAGAAGAGGAGCTCAAGTGGGCGGTCATTCCCATTGCTGCTACTGATTATTGTTGTGGCCTTTGTTCATTTAACTGTCTGTCCGTTTACAAAAGTGGAGGAAAGCTTTAACCTGCAAGCTATCCATGATGTGGTGTACCATCAACTGGACTTGGATAAGGTAAATGGGAAGAAAGGTACTATTTCTTGGATGCTGTTAAAGATCTCAATTCCCTGCTATATGAGTAGGATAGATGTGATGTGAATGTTATTTATCCCAGTTTTCCTTTGGTTCTGGTTTGCCTATCTTACTTAGATTTTCCTTTTTGCAGTATGACCATCATGAATTTCCTGGAGTTGTTCCAAGAACGTTCCTTGGACCAATTTTCATTGCTGCACTTTCCAGCCCAGCTATATATGTACTTTCTGTGCTAAGAATGTCCAAGTTTTACTCTCAGCTGATAGGTATGAGAACTTTAAATTGTCAGAATAGAGATGTTTTTACTACTGGACTAATGGGTGACATTGTAACATTCAGTGCTTGGATCAATGGTTAAAATGTTAATTCTTCTCCGTAATGAGGGATTTCGCAAACTGTAGGTACTGAGAGCCAGCATGGCAGTTCCACTCCATCTTTGAAATAACTAACAGCACAGAGAATGTTTGTGGTAACAAATGTCAGACAGTGTAGAAAAAGCAAATGTCTTCAGAGAATACTCCCACGTGTACTTCTTTGTATGCTTCAGAAAATATTGTTTAATTTAGTCATAGAAGCATTGACCTTTGTGCAAAAGTATCAGACAAGTTAAAGGTGGATTGAAATAGATAAACTAATGGAGAAGTTTTGGGTTGCTTTTATTTTGGGTTTTTTTTTGTTTGGTGGTTTGGGTTTTTTAAAGTGGGTTGTATTGTGTTGTCTTCAGTCAGTATTATTCTTCATAACTTCTTCCCATTATGTTATGTAACATGGTTGGTTGTCAGAGATCCATCTGATGTTACTCTTCCCATTTTACTCTTCCAATAGTCAGAGGAAGCTTGGGGCTCAGTGTGATTTACACGTTATGGAAGTTGCAGAAAGAAGTTAGAAAGCAGTTTGGAGCAACTACATCAACAGTCTTCTGTCTCATCACTGTGACTCAGTTTCATTTGATGTTTTACTGTACACGAACCCTCCCTAATGTGTTTGCACTTCCTTTTGGTAAGTATTTGAATTGGAATGATTCTAAAATAAAAAATTTTTTCTCAGTTTAATCAGTAGATACAACACAGAAAATGTGTGATCAGAACAAATTAATGTATGTGCTTAAGTTGTGTGATAACAAGACTAAGAAACTTAAGCAGTTGTGATTTCTTTTTTTTTACCACATGCTTACAATGTTAAATCAAGTTGTATTGAATCTGAGTATATGTGGAGTGTGTCAGATGGCTTTGATTAACTAAAAGTTTGAGAACATGCGTCTGATGCATAAAACAGAGCTATTGAAAAGGCAGTAGATACACCTGCAGTTAAAAAAAAATCTGTGAACTTAATCTACACTAGAAACAGTTTTCTCATGAGACTTTTTTATTCTCTCATGAGAATAAACTCCCACTACAGAATTTCCACCTTCCTTTTCTGGGGTTATCTACAAACGTAGCAGTTTGTACACTGAATGTAAGCGGGGGTTGGAATCTTACTCTACAGATGTGTTTTTCACTAGAGAGAGGGAAGATTAACCACATGTGACAGGTATTAGCTGACTCTGTTAATGCTTCAGTGCAAGTTGTTCAACTAATAAAATCAGGGGGTTGGTGTAAGAACCTGTGTATAAATCTGAAAACAAAACAAGGAGTTGAATTGTCAGATGAACACAATGTAGTAAACACAATGTAGTACAGATAATTTCTGCAGCTATTAAAAACTACAGGTTGTTTCATGTTTTTGTACTATTAATATTTCACACATTTTCCTTAGAATCGTGACCACTTTATGATGTAGTCAGTGTTATCATGTGATATAAACTGTGAAAAAGTAGAAGCAACTTCATCTGTAAAGATACAATGTGTCTCCAGTTAACCACACAAATGGACTTACAGTTCTTTCTCCCTGAACAGTAGTCTGTAGTCTTGTTTTCATATTTAAATGGGTTGCTGTTATCATGAATACAGGATATGCTCAGCCAAGGGAATAAACTTAACTCTTCAGCTGATACTGAGCAATAATAATTATAGATCATAGTTTGAAAGGCTTTTAGTACTCCTTCAAGGTTTTTGGATTTTTTGGGGGTGGTTTTTGAGTTTTTTGGGGGTTTTTTTGTTTGCTTTTATTTCCCCCCTCTCCCTCCTCCCCGCCCCCCAAAAGCTATTAAATGTACTGTCTAGGAAGAGTTTCCGTATGTTCCTTCTGTGGTTACATGTTTCCTAATTACTTAAGCATCAACAGTAGAAAGTTGTGCATTATTCCAAATTACATTTCTCTAACAGAGGAAGAATGTCTGGACTAAAAATGGTAGGAAGACCAAGAGAGGATTTGTGGGAAGTTAGAGGAACAAGACACTAGCGTTGAGAAGAGCGTTGCCCTTTACAAAATGAATAGTTCGATGTGTCAGACAATGTGCTTTATTTATTTTTGCAGTGCTCTTGGCATTGACGTTTTGGATACAGCAAAAGCAAAGGCCGTTCATTTGGTTCTCGGCTTTGGCAATTATAGTCTTCAGATCAGAGCTCTGCATATTCTTAGGCTTCATGCTCCTGGTGACGTTATTAACTAAAAGAATCTCCATTTTCAAGGTGCTTTCCCATGCTCTTCCTGCTGGAATTTTTTGGTTGGGTAAGTGTTTGTTTGGAAAATATTAATGCCACATACTAAATTCAACAGAATTCTCGAGATTTGACTGACTTGGTGAGCTGGCCCTTATGCCTTTTTTAGTTTTGTTTTATTCCATTTTCTAGTAATATGAGAAACGTATTTATTTCTTTCAAGATTTTTGTGTGAGGAAATAGGTGTGCACAGAGCAGTAAAAAGATGCGGTGACCTCACCTTTAGAAGCTTACAGTACAATGTGTGAGTCTTAAAAAGGCTGAGATGTGCGTGTTGACTTTAGTATGATTAGTAACTGGTTGTAGCCACGTGCATTTTCAGCTATAGTATCTGTTGCCATGACGAGAAGCTGAATCCCAGGTTAAAATACAGGTGTGACAGACAGGGATACTGAGCAAGAGGGCTTTAGGGAGAGTTACAGTTCAGGTGTTTCTTGATTACATTAATTTTAATAGCTTAAGTGATTATCCATGTTAGAGAGGTTGAAAAGTCTCCTTGTCTTTACCCATCCATGGAAGCCTCATGCATATGCACATAAATACTCTAAGCTTCTCTGCCAGCCTACCTAATTAAAAATGCTGTTGTCAGATGCCTGAGGATGACCTCTGGTAGTGTTGTCCCTTCCACAGCATGGACAGTAGAAAAAATAACAGATCATGCCATGTGTATTTGGAGGCACCTCATAGCATAAGAGTGGAGGCACAGTGGAATTAGTGACTGGTGCTCCCATTCGCTCTCTGGGCAAACCTCTTCAATACCAGAGCAGTTTTCATAGAACTGAGTGGAGGAGATAGGGCTGATGGATTTGCAGCTCTTCTGTCTTTTCACCTTTCATCCCAACATCCTCCTTCTTCCCTCCCACCTAATAAATAGTAGGAAACTTCTAGAGGTTGTTTTCCTCAACTTATCAGCTTTACAATAAAAAACCATTTAGTACCATTTGAAGTTAACTCAGGTTTCTTACCATCCATTATGTTTAATGCTCTAATATTCTTTTAAAACAAACTTTAATTAAGTCACTGCTTTTCACATATGGGGTTGGAGTGGGGTGAATCTCAATCAGATTCATATCTAGCATGCTTTTGTTAAGACTTTTATTAAGAAGTGCCTCCCTCCCTTGCATTGCCACTGCAAGACGGGCAGATTCAGCCTTCTCTGTGGCTTTGGGTAGGGTTTACAATGCATGTCTCAGCTAATGTTGATCTCATCAGTAAACGCAATTTGGATGTGCTAGTTTGCTTTTCCTGAGTTTTTGATTCATGCAGATTTGTATTTCATTAATTCTTTTAGGGCTAACAGTTGCTGTGGATTCTCTGTTTTGGAAGCAACTTGTGTGGCCTGAGGGGAAAGTGCTCTGGTATAACACAGTCTTAAACAAAAGTTCCAGCTGGGGAGTATCCTTTGAAATGTCCAGGGAAAAATAATCTACTGAACACTACCAGCCAAAGCAAAGACTTAATGTAACCTATTCCTGAGACTCAGTTATGGTGTTAAGTTCTACTTTTCATCTAGTATTTCATTATGTGAAGCTTATAAGACAATGTATGTTTCTTGTATGTTTTTGTAAATTTTAACTTTCCTCTGCTGACTGCTCCTTGCTGCTTTGTGTTCTACCAATGTAAAGCTGGGTTTCTTCCCCTTGGTTCTTCATGTTGCCGATCATGAAATCTGTTTGATGTGCCTCTGTGGGGTGATGTAAACATAGTGAGGCAACTCCTTTTATTTCTCAGGGTAAGGCAAGAAATCTATCTTATGGTCTAGAAGAATGTGATTTACAAAAAAGTATACTGCATATTTGCAAAATTTACGTGTACTACAGTAAAGAATGGTTACTTTACTTGTTAGCAGTGAAAGCATCCTTAACTCTCCTTTTAACCTTGAAGACATCCCCCTTCTTGTGGTATTTCTATTCAGCCCTGCCTCGTGCTTTGGGATGCAGCATTGTATTTGTACCTTTAGGTGTATCAGAAAAGAGAACTCGGATATTACTTTTGCCAGCCCTGGGCTTTATTTTCTTGTATTCGTTTCTCCCGCACAAAGAGCTGCGTTTTATCATATATACTTTCCCTGTCTTCAACATAGTGGCTGCTAAAATGTGCTCACGAATGTAAGTTCAAAATTCTGTTGCTTTTTTTTTCCCCTCTGAAAATGCAAAAGAAAAGCAAAACTATTATTACTCTTTTTATCCACTTCTTTCCATCTTGTAATCTGAATCATCTTGAAATCTTTATAGATCTTGCTTTAGAAAGGAGGTCTGTATCATAGTACCCAACCGACTAATGAAGGAAATAGAGACAAAGAGAAGTTAAATGATTTGACAGGACCATTTGGCAATTCTGGGGCAGAGTTGAGAACAGAGCCCTGATTTTACTGTTATGCTGTTACAATTCAGGGGTTTTTCTATCCACCAAAGACATTCTGGTGTACTACTGTGGTGTTCACATAACTTACCTTAAGAGATAGTTTAATATAAAGGTGGAGCTCATGAAACATGGAGTTTGTATTTAATACTTAAACTTGGGTATATTGAGTAAACAAATTGAAGTTAAACTCTGAACTTCTTTGAAAGAGAATACATTCAGAGCTGAAGGTTTTAAACACAAAAATACTTAGCTTTATCGATGAGCTTGTATTAGCTTTATTAATGAGAATATTTTAATTTAAATGTCACTTGAAGCTGGTCTTTTAGAATAGGATAATTGTGTTCCTTACACAAGATTGTAATAAAGTTTGCGTTAATCTTTATTATCTAACAGTAGGATTTTCATAAAAGTTGTGTCACAATAGTCAATGACTAGTATGAATGAAAAATAACAGTTTATTCTTACTAATTTTCTGCCCTCTCAACAGTCTGAATAACTACCGGAAATCCTGGCTGTACAAACTTGGATCTTTCTTTGTTGTAATGCATCTTCTAGTCAATGCTGCTTATTCAGGAACATCTTTATATGTTTCACATTTTAATTATCCTGGAGGAGTGGCAATTCAGAAGCTGCATGAGTTGGTACCCTCAACAGCAGGTATGTAAAGCTGGTTTGAGCTATGTTGGACTAATTTCAATTGCAGGGCTTTTTTGTAATATCTTTACATGTATTGGATATTACTTCTTCAAGCTATTTGCCTGCACCTGTTCTGTTACTATTTTGTTAATTTATTGATCAGAGTGTTCTTAGAAGAATTTTGAGACTGTATTTTGTTTTCTTATTTATGCAGACGTCTCTGTTCATATTGATGTGGCTGCAGCACAAACAGGAGTTTCTCGGTTTCTAGAAATCAATTCAGATTGGAGGTATGTTATGAACAAGGTGTTTGAAGACAGAAGCCTGATTTTTTTTTATTTATTTTTTGTGTATGCACAGGGGCAAGCATCACAGATACAATTTCTAGTATATATCATATTTATTAAGCCAGGTCAAGAGCAATGCGAATCTTCAGAGAATTTTGAGGCATGCAGTGCTGCCATTTCAGAAATAGAACACCACAACATTTTTTAATTGTTTTGGTTGGTACTGCTTTGCCTAAATAGCATCAGATCTTTTAAAGGCATCAGAAACAGTGCAAAAAAAAGAGCTTACTAAAACACCAATATCTTAATGCAGCTATGTTTGATATAGATTCACAGAATCATAGAATGGTTTCAATTGGAAAAGACCTTTAAGACAGATATTGCTAGATCTTGTAAAACACAGCTGGAGATGAACATTTTTCTGCTCTTGGTAGAACAGTGTATGTAGCTGTGGGGTATGTTCTCATTATGTTTGCTTTTAAATGATGTGTGGCATTGTGAGGCTTATTGCATATTAATATTCCAAGGCGTTTTTTACATAGAACGTCCTTCACATAGAGGGCATTGGAGCTGCTGTTGTGGACTGTCAGTCACTTGAGCTCCGAGAGAAAGCAGTTGAGTGCTTTGTTACCATGACAGTAATGTACAGTTTTAAGCATCAAAATACTTAAATGAAGAGTAGGGGACATGTGTGGGATGGCCTTGTTTACTTTCCAGGATACAGACCATAAAAAAGGCAACTTTCTGGTACTTAAGCCTAACTCTTCAGCTGAAGTGTAGGTTTCTAATTTTAAAATGTCATCTTAATGAAAATGATTCAGCAGAAAGTGAGAGAAAGCCTCACTTTACACTGGCACAAAACAAAAGCAATACAAGCAGATTTTAGTTTTAAGACATACTCTGAGCATGGAGTCCTTTTTCCCCAATTGCAGTCTTAAGGATCAGATGAACAAACATAATTTAATTATTGGTATGTTTAGAGATATTTTGAAAGTAGACATGAAGAAGGGAAAGATACCCTTCTGGGGAAATTATAAAAATAATTGAGCTTGCTATGCCTTATTTTATTTTTGTGCTCTGTCGTAATGCTGTGATGGTACAGAAAGTTTAAAGCTGGATTGCCTTCACAGTTACCAAGCCAATGTTTATTTCAAGTTGGTTTTTGCATGTTCAATCTAGAGAAATTCTTAAGCCATGAACAATCAGGAGGAGACATTAAACTATTGGAGTACAGGTGATAGGACACACATAACTAAAATGTTCCAATCTTTGTTTTTTGAATATACTTAAGTCCACACACTACTCTAAATACAGCTTTACTCTCTAAATACAATGCTTAATTTCAATTAGGTTCTTTCAGTGGTGGGTTTTGCGTTGTTTTGGGCTTGCAAGGCTATAGTGTAGTGGGATTGGAAGGTGAATGAATAATATCGCTGTCACTGTTGGATGCTTCATAGTGTTGCAGCTACAGAGCAGTTTGTTTCTCTCACTTTTATCTTTACTCATCATTAGAAAGCTTGAAGGGAAGGCTGATTCATCATAAAACTTCACGTTAAAAAAAATCAGGCAAAATCTGCAACTGAGCATCATACACAGGACTACCGCTCTCTCTGTCAGCGCAACAGTGCGAAGTATAGTGGCACCAGCTGCCCATTCTCTCTTTATCTAAGGAAGTGACAGACTTTCAGATGAGTGAAAACTAATTTACCATCTTCACAGACTGTTTGTATCAGGTGAAAACAGATTTATAGATAGAGTTGCTAAGAAGGCTGATGATTCATCAGGATAACTACAATCCATACATAAGTGTCTTAAAGTTAACAGCTTTCAGCAGGGTGCTCAGATTAGATCTATTTGCCTCAAGAAAAATGCAGGTGATCCATTATTTTTCTTCAAAGGGTGATCGAAAGAAGCTTGATGCTGATTCTTACACAGGTGTTAAAATCTCATCTTCAATTAGTGCAGTCTCTTTGAACCAGGAATAAATATGCTGTGTAAGCTTGAAGTATTTTAAAATAATAAAACTCAGAAGTGCTTGTAACCAGATGAAAGGCCCTTTATTTGCTGATGAAGAAAATACAAAATTAGTAATTGGTAAAGTTGTTACAAAGTAAGCCATTCCTTCTGCCAGTTTGGACACATGTACCATCATAAGTGGTATTGTAATCTCTTTGGAAGTAGCAGATGAAATTAGTGTGCAATATATTTATATATATATTTTCTTTAGAAGAGGAAAGCACTTACTCAGTGTGTGAAGTCTGATTCTGTGTTATATGGTGTATTTGTTGACACCTCTGGATTCTGTCAGCCTGGGGCCTGCTCTGGATTGCCAAAATTTTAGTGAATAATCCATACAAATACTCTGGTTTGCTGTAGAATGCTTGCTTTAAATATCTTAGATGTTAATGACTGGTATATCAGGGAGCGTTGTAAAAATATAAATTGAGATTATTGTTTCCAGTTTTTCACAGTGAATTCAGACAGCTGAGAAGCCAGGACTGCAAAGATACATGTGGCAAAAGATGCAGCCTGGACTTACTACTAGGTGCATTTAAGAGTATGTAGGGTTGGACTTGCTCCACTTGTCCTTACCAGAAAAAAAAAAGCCACAGCCTTGAATAAGTTGCTTGTGAAATGTGTGGGAGCAATCAAGTGCCTAAGAATAAATAGGAGCTCCAAACGCTGGTAGAAGACAGTTCACAGAAATGAGCAACAGAGCGTTAAAAACTGGGCACTGCCCTTCACTTGGATTACAGAGCGTGGATGCTCTTGTGTAGTTAGATGCTTGAGGCTGCTTTGTTGTAAACAAACTAAAGGTAAGTACCATCTGTCTTAACCTCTGTCTTCTGGACTCACCCAGCAGTAGTGTAGAATGTTTTTCTGGAATATAGAGCAAAGATTTGAGTCCACATCTCTGCTTTTTGAAGTACACTAAACAGTTCTCTACAGAGTGTTTCAGGGTGGGCTTATTCTTTCCTGTTGAAGTTGTTGGATTTAGGACTCAATCAGGTTGCCATGTCCAATATGCATCCTAACCCTTGGGCTATGAATTCCGCCTGCTTTCAATGAATGCATAACTATTGCCAAGTAGAACAGTGTCTTCATGTGACAGTGAGGGAGATCTACCTCAGTTTCTATAAAACTAGAGAGGTTCATACAGCTCTGTTAACAAATGTCAGTTCTGGGCCTAGATCAGACAAAGTGGCTGAACGTATATCTTTTGAATTCCTGCCAAATGCTTCAGTCAGTTTTCTCATCCTGTAAATTCCCTCTACAGCTAGATTGAATATAATTCCTTTTAAGAAATAGCAGTAGGTGTACATGTTAAATAGTCTGTCATAAGTTACTTTTTATATATTTTTTAATTTATAATTTTTATGTATTTTTGTACCTAAACAGGTTTATAAAGGCTGACCCAAAGTGACCTGCCCAAACATGTAGAAACCTGGGAACTGAACCCAGAAATAACAAGTGCCAAACTAATACTGTAATTGCCAGGCTGTTCTTTCTTTCTTACAGTGTTAAAGGAAGTCTTCTTCCTGCTGTTCTCTGAGGCTTCTACTTTAATGTGTGATTACCAGAAAAGGAAGGTTCCTGCTAAAGTGCCTCATAACCTTTTTTTTTTTTTTTAAATTAAATAAAACCAAACCAAAACACCAAACCCCCCAAAAAAAAAGACCCACAAAAATCTCCACACTTATCCAAACTGCAATTCTTATAGAGTAAAACTTAAAAATTAGTCCAGTTTTCTACAGTGTTAGGCTTTGGTGTCCTTTCTCCACAGAACTTGAATAGAGGACTAGTGAGGTGTTTTCTAGGAGTCCTAATTTATATCACAATAGCAGCAGAGACTTGCATGGAATGTCTGGCTCCCTAAACTTCTTAAAAAATACTATTTCCTCCTCCAGTACTAGTTAATTTAATTGAGATATAACTGAGAATGTCACAGTTCCTTTTGTTTCATATTTGATGCTATATGCCCTTGCAATACTGGAGATGTTTAATATGCAAAGAGAGGAATGTAAATAAGCTGCCTTTTATTCTTTACAGGTATGACAAAAGAGAAGATGTTAAACCAGGAGACCAGTTGATGTTTTCTTACACGCACATACTGATGGAAACGAACCCTCTTCAAATATCACATTACAAGACAACCCACAGGCCACTGGCGAATATACCTGGCATCAGTAAAATTGGGTTGAACCTTACTACACTACCTCCTTTTACTTTAAACTTGAAACCAAAATTAGTACTGTTGGAAAAACTTCCTCTATCATCTTGATGTAATTTTAGATGTAATTTTGCTGATGACTGACTGAATAATCTAAGACAGCAGCAAATTGTCATTCCAGCACTGCAATTCAGCTTCTGTGGAAAGGCACAGAAAAATCTTTGTACCGATTGGTATTTAACTCCGTCCTGTTTCTTACATAACTATTACAATGCATTCCTAGACAGTATATACTCAAATACTGAGTTGTATTGTTAGATATGTTTGAGAGAGGCTACCTACAAGCTCAGTGGTATTAAGTAAAACCTGTTGACTTGTTTTGGGTAGCTGTTTCATAATGTAGCACAGATGTGTCCCAATTGTCCTGTATAAGATATATAATGGAACAGGTTTGTGCTATGGCAATAATTTAATATGTAACCTATGTGTGCAAAGATGTATTACTTGATGTATCTGCAGGATTGTAAACTCATCAGTTGTCAGATTGCCCCTGTGAAACTTAATGATGTTATCAACATAGGAAAGCCATATGCATTGTAGCTTCATCACAATAGCTAATTGTGGCCCATAGGCTACCAAACTAATTAAAGTGAGAGATTCACTTAAAAAGCAGTTGAACCTCTTGACAAGTACTATCTCATAAGAGATTTAAGTGTTAAAGGATGATTATCTTTATTCCAGCAGTTCATGAATAAGCAGCAACTTGGATTTCACAGGAAAAAGAATTTTTAAAATAGTATTTCCCTCTTCTGCTGCAATGCTTGTATCTTAATTTGCAGTGCAAAAAATTATGAAAATATTCACTTGAATACACTTTAAGAAGATAGGTGCTGTTTTTCCTGTTTGTTTGTTGTGGGGGGTTTTGTTTTTTTTTTTTTTTATTAAATAGTCCATTTGGAAAGGAATAATCTAATGTGCCATGTGTTGCATTCTGTAAACTAGAATAAGATAGCATGCTCTGTAATCTCTTCTTTATTAGATGTTTTTGCTAAGGATATCTGCCTAGATTGCTGAATGGAAAAAGGCGTAAACTAAGGGGAAAAAAGTTAGTATTTTGGTTAGTGCCAGTTGTAATATGACAGAACCTCCATTAGTGTAAAAAAATCAGTATTGCTGAAATAATCTTGGGCAGAAATCTATTCCTTGCTGACTGAAAATGAGTAAAAAGTTCTTATTTGAATAAAGTGTTTTGGTTGTGTTTGTGTTTTTTTAACTTTTAAAGTGTTTCATGCAGGAACTACCTTTACCTGTGTATGTTTCAAATTTAGGACCATGTTTTCTTTTTATCCTCTAGATTATGTATCAGAGGAACCGATTTGGTGGGGTGGAGCCTGCTCCCCAGTGGGTGGCAGTTGCTGTTGTGCAGGCTTCCTCAGGCTGAGCAGATCTGGCAAAGGCAACCTGCAGAACTTGTTGGTCCAGTCTCTGGCTGCTTTTGAAACTGAAATCCCTTAAGTATTATCTATTTGACTTGTCTTTTGGAAGAAAACTGCTTCCTCCAAAGCCAATTTGAACAGCATACAATTCACATGAGACAGAAGGAAGTACATGTGCAAACAGCTGAGGATTTGGAACAATACAAAGGAAAACCTTTGAGTAAGGATGTAAGCACTTAAGTTAAGCCTAATCATTGATTTTATGTAACTCCTCCACACTAATCCACAACTCAAGAACCTAAACTAAAATGTATCCTGAGTGTAAACAAGTGTCTGCACTGCTGAAGTTAGGTGTGTAATTACTCCAGCTTTCCAAATCCCTGGTTGTCTGAATCCCTCTGCAGAAATGCTTCTAATTACGGAGAAAACCTAGGGCTGTTGTGCTTGTAACATAGGTGTTTCAAGCACAGAATATCTGGATGTTAGGCATCTGAAGAGATTAATCTTGATGAATGTTAGACACACTTAGCTGACTGCATCCTGCCACAGACTGTAAGTATTTGGACACAAATGTCACGACATCATTTCACCCAAAAATGGTGAACAATCACTGTCTTATGCCCTGAAATTTAGAATACCTTATGTTTCAAAAGTAAATAAAGTAATTGCCTGAAAAAAGTTGTCGAATTTGCTGATAGAGGACATTTTTGGATGCTAAAAGTAAAAGGTGCTTCAAAACAGAGTTAAACAGATCAGTCTCCCATCAAAAAGTAGAAAGAACCAAAGGTCAAGGAACAACCTCCAGCTCACAAAGTCTCTTTAAGTAGTAAGTGTTCAGAGCTTGCAAAAAAAAAAAAAAAACCACAGGCCAGATTTCCTGCATACTTGCCCAAAGCACCTGCTACAGGTCTTCTCTTTAAGAGTGAATTTGAGGTGAGGGGAGCTGAGGAATGGATCCAATACAGCCAACAGAAGATATATTTATCTGTTAACACTAAGAAAAAGGCCAGAATGTCTCCAGCTCTTCCCTTTGCCACCCACTTCAGCCATCAGAATGCAACCTCAGTGCAATGAGACAGCATAGCACATTTTGATACACTGATTGCACCCCTTTTTCTCACTTCCTGGCCATTTTGTACATCGCCTTGGGTGAGACAGGTTATGCATTTGGGCAAACAGGACAGATTGGGCTGCCTTTCCTACTACAGTTACAACTGTTCTAGGACCATTTCTATCTTCCTGAATACTAGTTCCTTCCATAACGCTAAGGAGCTTGAAAGATTATACATGTTTTAAGCACTTGTTTGCTGTAGCTCAATTTCAGTGCGTGTGTGCCTGAGAGCACTTTCTCTTACATAACAGAAATTACACCCAAGTCTGGTGTTGCTTTCTGCACTTCATTACCTGTGCTCATTCTTAAATACTCCCCTTCTGCCCCCCCAGCTTTCCTTGTAACTTAGTATTCAAAGTCTTTCTTCACTTTCTATTTGCAAGAAAAGAACAAAGCCACAAGCTGAGTTCACCACTGATATAAGCAAGACTGTTTAGCCACAGCTTTCTCAGTTAGCTGGTTACCTAATTAGTCTGAGCTATGTCTTAAATGAACTGCATGGCTATCTGCTTAACATATAACAGAGAAGATTAAGACAGTGTCTGCAAAAATCCCTGAAGTTAAATGAGAAAGAATACCTCTATGAAGGTTTTCTTTTTTTATTTAAATATGATTCCAAAATGTAGAGGAATTTATCCATTTTGTATGCAACTACTTGCTTTATAGCAGCCCTTTAGATCAACATGAGCAACTGCTGCTACTTTTGATTGTTCATTTCAGACCTTTGTTTATGACAGCAAGTCTAGATGTGTTTCTTCTGAAATTCACCAATTCTGCTTTATTTCAGCTGCAACTGCCCTTGGTTCTGTACCAAGGCTTGATTTATCTCCAGTTATGTTAAGTGTAAGGTAAAAATACTCTCTGAAATGGAGTCCATCTTTTCCTTTAAAACTGCAAACTTAAATCAAGAAATTCAAAGAAGGAATTGGTTCATACAGCGGGGAGAGAGGGAAAAAAAGAAAAGCAGGGACTGCTTAGACCTAGATCTAACCCTTGGAACCCGAGCTGAGACCTGAGTTGAGGACATTGATGTGGTTACCATTTCTCATTGGCATATTCATGTTACGAAACAAAGCAGGTTTTGGTCAGTTTTGCAAGGAAATTAAGAGTGTAAAGAACCACTCTTTTGTTGCTAAGAATAAAGCAAAGGATTAATATATTTCTGGAAAGACTGAAATGCTTAGTTTATAAAAATATAAATAAACTGTACTTAGTGTTGTTTGTTAATTATATGTTTCTTTTTCCTGTGTTGGAGATACCTAAATGCAAGTTTGTTATGGTGAGCTCCGTTTACTGGCAGGAAAAAAATGCTGCTTTAAGATCTTTGAACAACTGTAAACCTCTACTGTGAGGTTGTCATCTGTATCTATATTTAATCTATCACATCCTTATGCTAGAATTTAAACTGTTCTAGATTGAGATTCCGGTTCCTTGTAAATTCAGAAGCTGCTCCTGGGAAGCAAGGAGAAGCTACAAGTATTCCTAGTAAATGCTCCTTCGCCAAAGTCTGAAGTCAAACACGTTTACTTCCCTTTTACTTGGTCAGTAGAGGCCAAATGGAAAGGGGCATTGTGGGGGAAGCATTATCACAGGTTTCCAGAGCATAATACAGCTCTCCATAGATACTTGCCATTATACATACACCCTTCCAGACTGGAGTTCTTTGAAAAGGCTGTTGCAGATCTCTTCTTTCTCTTCCTATCTTTACTACTACAAGACATTCTTGCTGCAGTGTGTAGTTAGTTGTTACACTTACCTACTCTAAATGAAGCAAAAGCACAGAGATTCTTCTGGTGACACAAAGTATCATGTTCGGTACCAGCTACACTTTACGTTTTATGTTAGGAGAAAAAAAAGTCTGCTTACTAAATTTATTTCTAAAGTGGCTAATGTACTGAAATTAACTGTTTAAATAAAATAAATATCACAGTTGCAGGTTCACCATATCATGCATCAGGGAACTGTCTGCTGCTGCAGGGACTGTTCCAGCACAAACTCAGCTTGATGAAAACTCCCACTGTTAACAGAGTTTGTGCTTTATTACCATCTGAGAGAGAATGTAAAAATAAGGGAGTTTTCTATACATTACAAATATGAGAAGGGTTGGAAAAAAAGGAGTTTTAGCCATCACTAAGAATTTATATTAAAAATAATAAAGTAAGCCCAACACAAAACCCACCCACTCAGTAACTTACCTCAACACTTCAATGAAAGCTTTCAGCCTTTCTTTTGAAGACACTCTTTTCTGAAAGGTGGCAGTGCCTGAACTGAAGATGGTCCCATAACTCTTATAGAAGGATCAAGGCTTACAAAAAATGGCAGATTTGTGCTTTCATTCTCCCGTATTTTTAAGTTTTTAAAAAACTACATGTGTCAATTTCAAGGGTTTTTTGGGCCTGCATATTGCCTTTAAAAAAAAAAAAAATCTAATGTAATTATTAATTCTTAGCCAAGCTGATACTGAAACAGTGTAGGCTTAAGAACTAAGCTCTTCAAAAAGGGGGAGAAAAAAAAAAGTTGCAGGTACAAATAAAGCAGACTAACTGATATGATGCAAACCGGGAGCTACAAAATGCTATCACTTCACCATTTCCCACATAAGAGTTACATAGGAGCTACAGTAAAGGCTGTCTTCAGAGGAGCCAAGCTGCTTGTTTCCAGAGAACTGGGATTTTCAGGTAAGCTTGTTCACTGCCAGTGCTCCTGCTGGTACGATGTTGCTCTACAATGCTTTAAGCCAAAGGCCGTATTTCCACTCTTGAGTGAAAATCGTATCACTTGTTTAAAAAGAAAGAAAGAGAAAAAAGCTTCTTCATCCTCTACCTCCCTCTCTACTGGTTTGGAGAGATTAAAAATCTCTTTTACAAAGGTCAAGGTTATATTCACAGTTAAAATGTAGGGGGGAAAACAGAGATAATAATTAACCAGTAACCCTTTAAACATGTTTCCCAATAAGCTGCTTCAAACTCACCTAGTTCAAACCATACATAAACTAGAACAAATTGTTTTATTACTGCAGAAGAAAAACATGTGCTGTTCTCATTTAACAGTAGATGAACAAAGAAATGCTGACTACTGATAGAATGAGAAGTTCTCTTTTAAAATACTGAAGAAAAAAATGCAATATTAGTTTTTCCCAAGTACACTATAGAATAATTTACTAAATAGTACAGGTGTAAACATAACTAATGGAATAACGATTGAAATACCTGAAACCATAAAACGCTTAGAGA